GTATTGGCTGCCTTTTGGTCTGTTAATATAGCTCAGCTTTGACAAACCTCTTTCAGTGGCATGAGTGCAAAAAAAAAAAATCCGTAAACTTGTCAGAAAACTTGTGAGATGATAACTTCCTACTGTCTGTGACCCAGAATGAAGCTTGGAAGCAAGAGGAAAGATACGATCCCCTTGGTCCTCAGAAATGGGGTGCCGGCGTTCAGGCTCACTCCTCCAGTGTGATAGTGTGTGTGTAGATGGGGGAACACCACACTCCTAGCCTGATTGTAGAAGGAGATGTCAAACGGCCTTAGCTAGCGCTGTTCCACAAACCTCGCCCCCCCCCCTTTCCAACGCATTTCGCCAACCCCACCAGGTCTAAGTGCAAATATTTATCTATGAACTTGTCAGAAAACTTGAGATGATAACTTCCTGTGCTCTCTGTGACACTGAATGAAGCTTGGAAGCAAGAGGAAAGGTAGGGAACCCCTTGGTCCTCAGAAATGGGGGGTGCCGGCGTTCAAGCTCACTCCTCCAGTGTGACAATGTGTGTGTAGATGGGGGAACACCACACTTCCAGCCTGATTGTAGAAGGAGATGTCAAACGGCCTCAGCCAGCACTGCTCCACAAACCTTGCCCCCCCCCCCTTCAACGCATTTCACCAGCCCCACCAGGTCTATAAGTGCAAATATTTATCTATGAACTTGTCAGAAAACTTGAGATGATAACTTCCTGTGCTCTGTGACCCCGAAAGAAGCTTGGAAGCAAGAGGAAAGGTAGGAACCCCTTGGTCCTCAGAAATGGGGTGCCGGCGTTCAATTGTAGAAGATGTCAGACGGCTTAGCTAGCGCTGTTCCACCAACCTCGCCCTCTTAACCTGGTTTTGCTCCACCCACCAGGGCTATAAGTGCAAATAATCATTGTGAACTGATAACTTCTTGTGCTCTGTGACCCAGAATGAAGCCCCCTAGTCCTCAGAAATGTGGTGCCGGCGTTCAAGCTCACTCCTCCAGTGTGACAATGTGTGTGTAGATGGGGGAACACCGCACTCCCAGCCTGATTGTAGAAGATGTCAAACGGCCTTAGCTAGCGCTGTTCCACAAACCTTGCTCCCCCCTTCAACGCATTTCGCCAACCCCACCAGGTCTATAAGTGCAAATATTTATCTTATGAACTTTTCAGGAAACTTGAGCTGCTAACTTCCTGTGCTCTGTGACCCAGAATGAAGCTTGGAAGCAAGAGGAAAGGTAGGAAAAACTTGGTCCTCAGAAATGGGGTGCTGGCGTTCAATCTCACTCATCTGGCTGTGACAATGTGTGTGTACATGGGGAACACCACACTCCCAGCCTGACCAGATTGTAGAATGAGATGTCAGACGGCCTTAGCTAGCTCTGTTCCACAAACCTCACCCTCGTAATGTGGTTTTGCTCCACTCACCAGGGCTATAAGTGCAAATAATTATCTGTGAAGTGATAACTTCTTGTGCTCTCTGTGACCCAGAGTGAAGTTTGGAAACGAGGAAAGGTACGAACCCCTTGGTCCTCAGAAATGGGGTGCCGGCGTTCAGGCTCGCTCATCCAGTGTGACAATGTGTGTGTAGATGGGGGAACACCACACTTGCAGCCCGACCAGATTGTAGAAGATGTCAAACGGCGTTAGCGCTGATCCACAAATCTCACCCCCCCCCTTTCCAACGCATTTCGCCCACCCCACAAGGTCTATAAGTGCAAATATTTATCTATGAATTTGTCAGAGAACTTGAGATGATAACTTCCTGTGCTGTCTGTGACCCCGAATGAAGCTTGGAAGCAAGAGGAAAGGTACGACCCCCTCCGGTCTTCAGAAATGGGGTGCCGGCGTTCAGACTCCCTCATCCAGTGTGACAATGTGTGTGTAGATGGGGGAACACCACACTTCCAGCCTGATTGTAGAAGATGTCAAATGGCCTTAGCTAGCACTGCTCTACAAACCTCACAACCCCCCCCCCCCCCCGCCAACGTATTTCGCCCACCCCCACCAGGGGTCTATAAGTGCAAATATTTATCTATGAACTTGTCAGAAAACTTCAGCTGATAACTTCCTGTGCTCTCTGTGACCCCCGAATGAAGCTTGGAAGCAAGAGGAAAGGTACGACCCCCCCCCCCCCCCCCCACCCCCGGTCTTCAAAAATGGGGTGCCAGTGTTCAAGCTCCTTCATCCAATCGTGACAATGTGTGTGTAGATGGGGGAACACCACACTTCCAGCCTGATTGTAGGAGATGTCAAACTGCCTCAGCCAGCACTGCTCCACAAACCTTGCTTCCCCCCCTTCAACGCATTTCGCCAACCACACCAGGTCTATAAGTGCAAATATTTATCTATGAATTTGTGAGAGAACTTGAGCTGATAACTTCCTGTGCTCTCTGTGACCCCGAATGAAGCTTGGAATCAAGAGGAAAGGTACGAACCCCTTGGTCCTCAGAAATGGTGTGCCGGCGTTCAGGCACACTCCTCCACCGGTGACAATGTGTGTGTAGATGGGGGACACCACACTTCCAGCCTGACCAGATTGTAGGAGATGTCAAACGGCCTTAGCTAGCTCTACTCCACAAACCTCACAACCCCCCTTTCCAACGCATTTCGCCCACCCCACCAGGTCTATAAGTGCAAATATTTATCTATGAACTTGTCAGAAAACTTGAGCTGATAACTTCCTGTGCTCTCTGTGACCCCGAATGAAGCTTGGAAGCAAGAGGAAAGGTACGACCCCCCCCCCCCCCCTCCCCCGGTCTTCAGAAATGGAGTGCCGGCATTTAGGCTCCCTCATCCAGTGGTGACAATGTGTGTGTGGATAGGGAACGCCGCACTCCCAGCCTGACAGGGGTGTAGGAGATGTCAAAAGGCCTTACCTAGTGTCGCCGTCTAACGTGTTTCGCCCACCCATCAGGGCTATAAGTGCAATTAATTATCTGTGAACTTTTCCGAAAACTTGTGAGCTGATCACCCAGAATGAAGCTTGGAACACCGCTCTAAGCAAGAGGAAAGGTACGATCCCCCTGGTCTTCAAAAATGGGGTGCCGGTATTCAGGCACCCACATCCAGTGTGTGTAGATAGGGAACGTCGCACTCCCAGCCCGACCGGAGTGTATAAGTAGATGTTGAACGACCTCAGCCAGCGCTGCTCCACAAACCTGCCCCTCCAACGCGTTTTTCCCCGCCCACCAGGGCTTGGCCACAGACCTCTGTGACCAAGCCCTGGCGAAACGCGTTGGGGTGTAGTTTGAGGAGCAGTACTGGCTGAATCTGATTGACATCTCCTACATTCCGGTTGGGCTGGGAGTGTGGCATTCCCTATCTACACACAACTTCCAGTGCTTCCTGCTATGGAGGGGAGAAGAGAGGGAGGTGTTCTGTAGTCTTAACACACTTCATGTTCTAGGGTGACAACGCTGCTTCATAGATACAGTACAGTGAGTGACTGTTGTCACCCTACCACAAGAAATATGCTACTGGCAGGATCACTAGGTGAAAATAAAAAGCTGAATAAAAAAAACCAAATGCAGCCACCACATCTTAGGACTGGGGGGTTATTATGACATTTTGGGGTTTAGCGATGCTTTGATGAAGTCCTGAACTGTGCTAGCTGTGCCTAATAAAGGCAAGTAGTGGACAAGGGACAGGTCCCTAGTATTGCCTGCGGTCTCCATGCAGCTGATTCCTATTCCTGACTTGCATGTCTTCTTCTGCCCTGTGGAGGGGGCCATCTTGGTAGAGGAGCAGCATTTTTCTTCCTCATGTCAGAGCATCATTGGCATCTGTGGGATGAATAGTGGCCCATCATTGGTGTCAGTGGTAGGAATAGTGCCCCATCATTGGTGTCAGTGGGAGGAATAGTGCCCCATCATTGGTGTCAGTGGGAGGAATAGTGCCCCATCATTGGTGTCACTGGGAGGAATAGTGCCCCATCATTGGTGTCAGTGGGAGGAATAGTGCCCCATCATTGGTGTCAATGGGAAGAATAGTGTCCCATCATTGGTGTCAGTGGGAGGAATAGTGCTCCATCATTGCATACCTCAGTGGGAAGAATAGTGCCTCATCATTGGTGTCAGTGGGAGGAATAGTGCCCTATCATTGGTGTCAGTGGAAGGAATAGTGCCCCATCATTGGTGTCAGTGGGAGGAATAGTGCCCCATCATTGGTGTCAGTGGGAGGAATAGTGCCCCATCATTGGTGTCAGTGGGAGGAATAGTGTCCCATCATTGGTGTCAGTGGGAGGAATAGTGCCCTATTGGTGTTAGTAGGAGGAATAGTGCCCTACTGTTTGTGACAAGTGGGAGGAATAGTGCCCCATCATTGGTGTCAGTGGGAGGAATAGTGCCCCATCGTTGGTGTCAGTGGAAGCAATAGTGCCCTATTGGTGTCTGTGGGAGGAATAGTCCCCCATCATTGGTGACAGTGGGAGGAATAGTCCTCCATCATTGGTGACAGTGGGAGGAATAGTCCCTCATCATTGGTGTCAGTGGGAGGAATAGTCCCCCGTCATTGGTGACAGTGGGAGGAATAGTCCCCCGTCATTGGTGACAGTGGGAGGAATAGTGCCCCGTCATTGGTGTCAGTGGGAGGAATAGTCCCCCGTCATTGGTGACAGTGGGAGGAATAGTCCCCCGTCATTGGTGACAGTGGGAGGAATAGTCCCCCGTCATTGGTGACAGTGGGAGGAATAGTCCCCCGTCATTGGTGACAGTGGGAGGAATAGTCCCCCATCATTGGTGTCAGTGGGAGGAATAGTCCCCCATCATTGGTGTCAGTGGGAGGAATAGTCCCCCATTATTGGTGTCAGTGGGAGGAATAGTCCCCCATCATTGGTGTCAGTGGGAGGAATAGTCCCCCATGATTGGTGACAGTGGGAGGAATAGTCCCCCATTATTGGTGTCAGTGGGAGGAATAGTCCCCCCTGGGTTGGATAAATTTATGCAAATGTCCGCAGTTAGGAAATAGACTTGCAGCATATTTATGATGTAAATTGTTGATATTTTCCAGGACTCCCTTGTTCCTTCTGGCCCCGCTTGTGGCTCCCTCTGTTCCCCCGACCACTACCCAACGTCCTTCACCCCTCGGCTACGTCTGCCCGCGAGGAGCACACAGATTCCAATGGGTCGGCAGCCTGGTCCCCGAATTTGGCATCTCCAGCTCAAATGTGAAGATTCTTTCCACTCCAACAGAGTTCTACCAGGTCATGAAAGTGAGTATTCCCTGGGGGGGGATGGGATGAGGAGAGTCACCCTCCTTAATATTTTCCTGTCTGTTCTGGGGGGGGAATGACACAATTTAGGAAAGCCGGAATCCATGATTCATTCATTGTATGATCCTCTGTATGCGTATGTTCTGTCGGTGACTAGTAGTTACAGATATTCCCATCTACTGTGTCAGTCTAATCTTTGATTGGAATTAAAGGAAAAGTTTGGTGTTTAAAAAAAAAAAAAAAACCCTCAAAAATACTCTCTAAGCTGCAGATCTCCCTCATTGGCCATAAGACCAAGAACTGATTGATCACATGATTACTTCTCAGTCTTCTTCAGAGCGGAGAGCAGTGACGGTCAGTCACCGGCTCTCTGCTCTGCATCTCCACCACTCACTGGTGTGCCGGGCTGGGGAGGGGGTGGGAGCAGCTGGCTCCGCCTCTAAGCCGCATGCACCTGTCAATATAGCAGATGGGTGAATCCTGACAATACTGTCAGTATCCTTCCAGAGCTTGGAGCACATCTTTTGGTGACTTAAAAAAAAAAAATTAACAACAAACTCACTGAGCTCCATTCTAGTTGGTCCATCAAGATGGTTGATATGTGTTCATACAGAAGTGTATCTGGGGGGTACAATATAAGCAGTGAAACAATAAAAAGACAAAGGAGCTCACTGATGTTGTGCATTCACTAAAAACATCTGTAATATTAAAACTATATAAGAGGCACTCGGGTGCGGTACAGGCAGGTCAGGCACATAACTGGGCCTCACTGGATTAGCAGATGCTGGGACAGGCGGTGATGCCAGAGATGGTAATTGTAACGGAACCGGACCCCGACTGCACTAGGGTATTTCCGTTAGACTCCCGCTTCCCTGTCCGAATACAGATCCACGGACACCACCGCTGACCATACAAGACGAGACAGCACCAGACTTGTCTTAAAATAAAGCAGTTCACTTTCTGTTTTAACATAGATACAAGATATATACACAGGGCGGGGAAATACACCCAGTAACAGGAAACGCATCAGCAGGCCGTCTCATCAGGGGGAAGGGCTGCCGGAAACACCCCCCACCAAGCCAGTACAAACACATATATCCCATAATAGTTTGCGCTCAAGCAAGGCATACAATAGAACAATGGGATACACTACCTGGCAGTAGACAATACACAAACCCATACATCCCATATTAGTTTGCTCCCAAGCAAGACACACAATAGAACAATAGTATGCATGGCAGTGAACAATGAACAACCCCCCCACCCCAATATTAGAACATTCCACCCTGTACCCCTAACAGGCACAGGGGTGATTTACACATAATAGGGATATGGGGAGCTGAGACAGGGGTCTCCCCACCTCTCCAAAGGGGGCTGTGTTCCATGGGCCCCCCACCCAAAGTGACTACCGTCACAGTAATTGTCCTCCACGACTTTCTCCGGTAGACCATGGAAAGGATTGCTGGATGTCTGTGTCCTCAGGGAGATGATTCATGCCAGAGTTTAGCTGTAACAGCCAGCAGACACACTGACCCGCCATGAATAAAGGACGGGGTGATTATGTGGTGCCGAGGGGCTTTAAATGGACATCTTGCCATCAATGGGCAAAGCACAGGATCTCTTCATAATTGGTCCTTCATTAGACACTGGAATCTGTCTCACCACATTCCCCACGGATACATTCCCAGGATCCTGAGCCTGGCAAGCTGACATCAGCAAGAAACATCAACTGGCATCCTGTACTCCAGGGGCTCCAAACTTTCTAATCAAAGGGCCAGTTTGTCTGTAACGGAACCGACCCAGACTGCAGGTGAGTACTTCCGTCAGACTACCACTTCCCCGTCCGAACACCGACAACAGACACCACAGCCGACCATACAAGACTAGACGACACCAATCTTGAAGTAATCCAGAAAGTAGACTAGTTTATTTGAACACAGATACAAGATATAGACACTCAAATGACAAATCCCCCCTCCCGGCATAATGACACAGGACGGGGCAATCTACATTTTAGTAACAAGAGACACACAGGTATTCAAACTTCACTCCAGCAGACCGTCCCATCAGGAGGGAGGGCTGCTGGAGACCCCCCCCCCCCCCCCCCACTAAGCTAATACACATAAACACATCCCATAATAGTTTGTTCCCAAGCAAGACAAACAATAGAACAATGGGATGCAGCCACATAACACCAAACAATTCACAACCCCCCACCCCACCCATCTCCTAGACCTGTGTACACAATATCAGGACAGATCACCCTGTACCCCTAACAGGCACAGGGTGACTTACACATGAGAGGAATATGGGGTGCTGAGACAGGGGTCTCCCCACTTCTCCAAAGTGAGCTGGGTTCCATGGGCCCCCCCCCCCCCAAAGTGACTCCCGTTACGTTGTCTTTCAAACCTTAGGGGGGGGGGGGGGGGACTGTGGCCAGGGAGAGAGTACATTTTTCCTGGCATCAGTGGGAGTAAAGATCACCACATTTGCTATTAGGAGGAGGAAGAGTTCCCCATCTCTGGTATCATTGGGAGGAATAGGGACCCATTATTGGTGTCATTGGCGGAAATGGTGCCCCATTATTGGTGTCATTGGCAGAAATGGTGCCCCATTGTTGGTGTCAGTTGGCATAATAGTGTCTTGTATCAATTGGAGGAATAGTGCCCCAAAGGCTGAATAAAGGCAAACAAAGGGCCACAGTTTGGAGGCCACTTCTCAACTCGAACAGTCTCCTGACATCTGTACCAAAGAGGCTTAGTCAGAGACCACATAACCAGCGTTGGTATATGACCAGAAGTATACCATAGGCCTTGCATGTCTAACTGTCCTTCCAAGTTTAAAGCTGAATTCCAGAAATTCAGCAATTTTGCAAAAAGTAGAGGCACACTATGAGTTAAATCCAATTAGGTGCATGTCACCTCCAGGACTTATCTAACACTTATATGTGACCAGTTCATTGCACTCCTGGAGGATACACTCCGGCTGTGAGAAGAGAGAAGCACACAGGGCAGCTTTACCTGCCTCTCCACTCTGCTGCCCATTCACAGAAGCCTTTGTATTTTGTGATTGAGTTCACATATTACAAAGGCTTCTGTGAATGGGCAGAAGGAGGGGGGGGGGGCGGGCATAGTAGTTCCAGTGACTCTGCTCTTGAAGGAACAGATCATAGTGAGCAGCGTTGGAGCTCAAGTTTACAAGGTGGCAGGCACCTCGGTAGACCTAAAGCGGAGTTCCACCCAAGAGGGGAAGTTCAGCTTTAAGCCTTTGTCCTCTGCTTCCCATTAAGGATTGGCACCTTTTGAAGAGCGTGGGGGGGCGGGTACCCGAATTTGGCAGGTACTCGCTCCCACTTCCGCTGCGATCTCCTAGGCCAGGGGTAGGCAACCTGAGAGCCGCAGGACTACAAGTTTCATCATGCCTCTGCAAATCACAGCTGTAACTGTCAGTTTTGTAATCTTTGCAATTCCTCATGGGAAATGTAGGTCCACAACAGCTAGAGAGCCGCAGGTTGCCTACCCCTGGCCTAGGTGATCGGAAGCGGAAGTTGTCCACCCCCCTCCTTCCCCCGTACTCTTGTGGGACACTTGACAGGTCCCAGAAGACTACGGGGCCATTCACAAAGCGCAGCGCTTCTCACGCATGCGCAGTGGGCACCCGGCTGTGATGCCGCAAGCAGTGGCGGACTGACAACTCATGGGGCCCCCGGGCAATAGGAGATCATGGGGCCCCTGTTTCCTTGCCCAAAATCAAAAAAGCCTATGAAAAAGGTACCAGTGGCATCTCATGGGGCCCCCTACTGACCCCGGGCCCTCGGGCAGTGCCCGAGTTTCCAAATGGTCAATCCGCCCCTGGCCGCAAGCTGTCACAGCCGGGTGCCCCCACTGGAGATGCCGACGCCACGGAGAGAAGACGGCCGGTGAAACCAGCCGTGGTGAGGAGACCGAGGGACCGGTAAGTGGCTGTATTTTAAAAGTCAGCAGATACAGTTTTTGTAGCTGCTGACTTTTTTATTTATTTATTTATTTATTTAGTTATTTTCAGGTGGAACTCCGCTTTAAGTCCACGGTGTGCTTGCAGCTTTTACAAAGTAGCTGAATTCCTGGAATTCAGCTTTAACCTCAGGCCCCGTTTGAATATTGTGACCGCATTATATTCTCTGATGGCAAACTTTGCATAAACGTCACTTTTTCCCCCCTCAGGCCCAGGTGAAGGCTGCTAAGAGGCGGATAACTATGGCATCGCTGTACCTTGGGACCGGCCCCCTGGAGCAAGAGCTGGTGAGCAGCAGATTTGAAGTCTGCGCCTACATGGGGGGGGGGGGGGGTCACTTGCACTTGTTTTCCTTTAGAAATAGATTTGGTGGGGATTGCAGGGGCCGGTCTTTTCGCAATGTGGTTGTAACATTGATAGGTGAACTTCTCCTTTAGCCCGGGTTCACACTAATGCGGTGCGGCGTATCGCATGTGATTCGCACAGGAACCGCACCTCATTCCTGTACAAATCACATGCGATTTGTGTGTTTGGAGCCGTACATTATGCATGGCTCTAATCGCAGCGCAGAAACAAACTCTCCTGCGCTCTGAGACCCACATAGGTGGCGGATAGATGGAACCAGAACTGGAAAAATTCGACCACCGGTGCATATAGGGTTGTGCAGCTCCAAACAAGGCTGGGGAAGCCCGACCAATACTGCAAAGAGAAACAAAACAAAAAGCGCACCAACCTTGCGCATTACCTCAGTAACCAATTTTTATTAATTACAAAATGATACTCACAAGCAGCGAAGTAATTCAAGCATGTAAGTCCTCAGAGGGACTGGAAAATTAGGCAGCCTGCGTGAGTCCCATCATAGTGGTAGGCACTCAGCGTACAGCTGACGCGTTTCGAAGGGCATCCCTTCTTCATCAGAGCTCTAATCGCACCGCACCCGCACCAAAAATGTGCAGGACCCTTTTTTGGGTCTGCACTAGAATCGGATCGCACGGGTATTCACACCTCTGTGATCCGATTCTGCACATCGCACCGCGTTCTGCGGACCGCTTTCGGGTGTTGTTAACATACACACCTGCAGCGGTTCGCATGAACGGGGTGCGATGGTGATGCGGTGAAGAATTCGCACTGAAAACCCTGTGAATTCAGTGTGAATCCGGGCTTAGAGATGAAGTTTACTCTGCTTATATTTTGCATTCCCTAATTCCTCCCCCCCCCCCCCATTTTTTATATATATATATATAGAGATATAGTATTATTATACAGTATTTATAAAGCGCCAACGGTTCGCTCAGCGCTGTACATTACAAAGGGGGACAGAACATGTGACAGGACAATACCAATACAATGCAAAACATGAGGAGATCGAGGGCCCTGCTTTTTCGAGCTTACAATCTAGGAGGGAGGGGGTGGTGGTACAGGAGGAGATAGCTGTGGGGGATGGAGTGGTAGGAAGAGTGGAGGAGGTTGGCAAGTTAGCAGGGGGTGGGGTAGGCTTCCCTGAAGAGATGGGTTTTCAGGTGCGCCTAAAGGTGAGGAGAGTAGGTGATAATCTGATGGGTTGGGGCAGGGAATTCCAGAGGATGGGTGACACCCTGGAGAAGTCCTGGAGGCGGGCATGGGAGGAGGAGACCAGGGAACTAGAGAGAAGGAGGTCTTGTGAGGAGCGGAGTGTGCGTGTTGGGCGGTACTTGGATATTAGGTCAGTGATGTAGTTCGGGGCAGTATGGTGGACGGCTTTGTACGTCAGTGTTAGGATTTTGAATTTGATCCGTTGCGCAATCGGAAGCCAGTGGAGGGATTGGCAGAGAGGGGTGGAGGACACTGAGTGGAGGCCAGTGGAGGGATTGGCAGAGGGGGGTGGAGGACACTGAGTGGAGGCCAGTGGAGGGATTGGCAGAGGGGGGTGGAGGACACTGAGTGGAGGCCATTGGAGGGATTGGCAGAGAGGGGTGGAGGACACTGAGTGGAGGCCATTGGAGGGATTGGCAGAGAGGGTTGGAGGACACTGAGTGGAGGCCAGTGGAGGGATTGGCAGAGGGGGGTGGAGGACACTGAGTGGAGGCCATTGGAGGGATTGGCAAAGGGGGGTGGCGGATACGGAGCGGTTGGAAAGGTGAATGAGTCTGGCAGCCGTATTCAGGATGGACTGAAGCGGGGATAGCCAGCGGTGAGGCAGGCCAGTGAGGAGGGAGTTGCAGTAGTCGAGTCGTGATATGATGAGAAAGTGGATGAGCTGTTTAGTGGTTTCTGGGGTTAGGAACGTGCGGATTTTGGCGATGTTGCGGAGGTGGAGTCTGCATGTTGCGGAGGTGGAGTCTGCATGTTGCGGAGGTGGAGTCTGCATGTTGCGGAGGTGGAGTCTGCATGTTGCGGAGGTGGAGTCTGCATGTTGCGGAGGTGGAGTCTGCATGTTGCGGAGGTGGAGTCTGCATGTTGCGGAGGTGGAGTCTGCATGTTGCGGAGGTGGAGTCTGCACGAGTTTATTAAAGATTGGACTTGGGGCTGGAAGGATAGGTTGGAGTCCAGAATGACACCAAGTACTCTGGCCTGCGGGGCGGGTTTGATGGTGGCATTGTTGGATGTGATATATATATATATAAAATGATTTTGCGCAGCCCTGCCTCCCTGTATCAGTAGTTCTACTATAGGGAGGCAGGAAAGTGGATAGTTTCTAATTTTTGTGATGATTGGTCGGGGTTGACATTAGGTGACACTTGGGAAACCTCTGTCCTGTCATCTTCTCTTGCCAGGTGGACTGTATAGAAGACGCGCTGTGCAGTACAGAGTGTGAAGACCTGCAGGTGTCTATACTGCTGGACTACACCCGAGGATCGCGGGGTCAGTGGCGGCCCCCTGGGAACAGGTTTATGGCACCTCCCTCTGATGTGATAACAGGCAGTCGGATGGTAATCACTGAAAACACTCTCTCATCACATAAGAGGATGGTGGCACGCAGCCTGTGATCAGTGTGATGTCATTTGTGGTGTGACACGGCCTGTTTTTAAAGTACAAATCCACCTTCAAGTAGATTTCTGGGGGCGGATCGATCAAAACTGGAGCAGACAGAATCCGGAGCAGCTGTGCATGTCAACCAATCGTCATCGATCTTCAGCTTGTTCAGTTGAGCTTTGAAAATAAAAGACAGAAGCCGATTGGCTGAACACATCTTGATCCAGTTTTGACAAATTCCGGTTCTTTTGTGCAAGCTCCTCTTGGTGACGTAGCAGCGAATCCTCATTTTTCATTTCCATTTCATTTTTTTGAGCTGTAACAGGCTCACTTCACCTTTTTTTTTTTTTTTTCAACTAGCGTGTTGAACGGAAAAAAAAGACAGATCGCTGCATCAACACACGCAATGTTGATTCAGCAATCTTTCCCACTGAGCCATTGGGGTGGACTTACTGAAGACAAATACACAGTGTACTTTGCAAGTGCAAAGCTTAGTAAATGATGTGAAGGTTCACTTTTGTAAAGAATACCCGATTAGGTTCAAGGAAAATGGGGGAAAAAAAGCATTTTTGCTTGCATCTGATTGGACGATGGAAATCAGCAGAGCCCTCCCCTCACTTACTAAGCTCTAGAGCAGGGGTGGGCAACTGTGGCCCTCCAGCTGTTGTAGAACTACAAGTCCCATGAGGCATTGCAAAACTGACAGTTACAAGCATGACTCCCAAAGGAAGAGGCATGATGGGACTTGTAGTTCACCAACAGCTGGAGGGCCACAGTTGCCCACCCCTGCACTTGCAGAACGCGACTGAACTTACAAAATGCACAGTCTATTTGCCGTTAGTAAATCCACCCCATTGTATTCTGACAGGGGGACCTCCCCCCCCCTTGCCAAAATACACTGATCGGCTCTTGCAGCCATTGGCTGAAAGCTCGGATCAAATGCTGTTTTTTCAGCATGCCCGTTTGATAGAAGCTGGTCATTAGAACGGCTTCTGTTGAACGGACAGCTGTACACATGGGCCGAGCGTTGGCTAGTTCATGATGATCTGGCCAATTTTTGGCCCTTGTGTACCGGGCTTCACACCGGTATTTTGGGGTGTAACATGTAACCTGTTGCCAAGCAACCCCCCACCCCCAGGACACAGAGATCTGTGATTGAATGAACTGCAAGACCCCAAGCGGACTTCCACTCATCCTGTCAAAAAATAAAAGTGAGCAGCTACAAAAACTGTAGCTGCTGACTTTTAAAACAGCCGCTTACCTGTCCCTCGGTCCTGTGGTGTGTCCCCCGCAGCCTGTTTCACCGGCCGTCCTGTATTTCAGGAGGCCGGCATCTTCAGTGTGGGCACCCGGCTATACAGCTTGCGGGTACCCACTGCGCATGCGCGAGTAGCGCTGCGCTTCATGAATGGTCCTGTAGGCTTCTGGGACCTGTCAGGTGTCCCAAAAGACTACAGGGAGGGAGGGAGGACACCTTCTGCTTCCGATCGCCTAGGCCAGGGGTAGGCAACCTGCGGCTCTCTAGCTGTTCTGGAACTACATTTCCCATGAGGCATTGCAACATTACAAAACTGACAGAGCTATGACTTGCAGAGGCATGATGGAACTTGTAGTCCTGCAACAGCTGGAGAGCCGCAGGTTGCCTACCCCTGGCCTAGGTGATCGGACCGGACGTGGGAGCGGGTACCTGTCAAATTTGGGTACCCGCCCCCCAAAGGTGCCAATCCTTAATGGGGAGCGGTCCTTAAGCAGAACGTCCCCTTTTTGGGTGGAACTCTGCTTCAAATTCCTACTTGAATGTGTATCCTTTGTATATCATTTTAAATGTCCCCCTGAAGACCATTGCAGGTAGAGCCAATTCCCTAGCACAGTCCCTTCACTCCTTACGCCTTCTCCTCTTCTTTCTAATTGCTGTCTGTGCTGGCCCAGCTCCTCCACCCCTCCCTTCAGTTCCTTACAGTTCCTTTTATGTAGCTACCGGTGAAGGGGGATACTATAGAGCAGCTATTCTCAACCAGGGTTCCGTGGAACCCTAGGGTTTCTCTAAATGTGGCAAGGGGTTCCCTAACCTGTGGCTAACTGACCTCCCATCTAATGGTACCTGCATAGTTCCAGGTGTAACCAGTGGTGCATTTAGGTTTTGTGCTGCCCTAGGCAACACAAAGATCGTCTGCCCCCACGAACATGAACCAACACCACCACCCCCCTTCCCCCTCCCGCGGAGAGAGCCTCACATTGACCAACAACACCCCCCCCCCCCTTTCCCCACATCCCCGGAAACGAGAGTCAGGCTCTACATACACCATCGAGCAGCCCGCAGCCTCTCTCAGATCCCACCTGGTTCCCATGGCTCGCGTGTCCCTTCTTCCATCCCATCTTCTGGGAGGATAGGCTGTCCCCCTGAAAAATGGCGCCCTAGGCAAGTAAATACCCCCCTGGGTCTAACGCCATTTGGTGGAGCCAGCGGTATGACTGCAAAGATGTTGTTCGGGTTACCCTGTAAGGGGCGTTCTTGCCCCCTTACCACCACCTTTGTAAGGAGCATTTTCCCAATGACCCCCGATGGACTTATCTTACCAGAGATTCCCTGAGAATTCATGAAAGGGTTCCTCTGGGTTAAGAAGGTTGAGAAAAGCTGCTGTAGTGTGTCGCTCGAGTCTGTAGAGGCTGCTGACATCACATCCAAGATGGCAGCACCCAGCGCAGTCTCGAGGCTTTTGGGTGTTTGCACAAGGGAGGCTTTCACAGGTAAATAAAATAAATGCACATAAAATCCTATGGAAATGAATGGTGACCGGTTCTCTTCAAAGGTGGAGTTGTCCTTTAAATCACAGGTCGGTCATTTCAGGCAGTTGCACGGAGCCATTTTTTTTCTAATTAAACTTTTTTTTGTGGAACTTTATTACAGGTAAGAAGAATTCCCGCAGCATGCTGCTCCCTCTACTGCGTAAATACCCAGACAGAGTGCGCGTGTCGCTCTTCCATACACCCAACTTGCGCGGCCTTTTGCGAGCGCTGACGCCAGAGAGGTTTAACGAGACCATCGGCCTGCAGCACATGAAGGTCTATCTGTTCGATGACAACGTCATCCTTAGCGGGTAAGAGCACCAGAGGCACCACAGCAGAGACGCTCTAGATTCAGGCTTTATAATTAGATGAAGCAGTATATAGGCGGGGGCTGGGGGGCCATCAGATATCAGCACTTCTTCCATCAGACGATGCTTAACCCCTTCACGCCGGCGCCTCCCGGCCCTTTAAGGGTTTCAGGAGGCGGGGCGGGGTTTAGGGTCATGTGACCGCCGTGTCACGGCGGTCACATGATCGGGAAAGGTCCCAATCGAAAGAGGAGATCGGGACCTTTCCGTGAGTATCTGACGTGTTCTGGGAGCGCGCAGGGCGCGCGCTCTCAGCACATATGTTCTTTTTAATAGAACGCAAATGTGCGGCCGCTCGGTGTCTAGGCCCAGACACCGGGAGGCTGCACATTTGCGTTCGGCTGGCTTGAGGAGGTTAAAGCTGAAGTTTATTTTTATAGACTTCTATTTAATCTACCTACGTGGTTTTTATAACAGAAACTAAGAAGTGCGGGGTTTTTTTCATTGTTTCAGGTGTTTTTTGTTTTATTTAGCAAAAAACGAAAAACTCAGTGGTGATGAAATACCACCAAAAGAAAGCTCTATTTGTGTGAAAAAAATGATACAAATTTAATTTTTATAGCAAAAAAAAAAAAAAAAAAAATCCCAGCGGTGAATAAATACCACCAAAATAAAGTTTTATCTGTCTCAAAAAAATGATAAAAAATTCATATGGGTACAGTGTTGCATGACCGCGCAATTGTCATTCAAAGTGTGACAGCGCTGAAAATTGTCTGGGGCAGGAAGGGGGTACAAGTGCCCGGTATTGAACGGGTTAAATACATAGGCCACTGGAAAGGTAAATATATTGTCTTTACTTTTACAGGCCGTCTTGTGTGTTGACAGGGTCACTTTAAAATTCATTAAAGTGGTTCTAAAGTCTATACATTAGGGCGGGGGTCCCCAAAACTTCTAAAGATTGGATCGGTTTACTGTCCTTCAGACTTTAGGGGGGCCGGACTGTGCCCAGCGAGAGTAAACTATGCCCAATCTTGGGTATTAGGGGGAGAAATAGTTGGTGTCAGTGGAAGGAATTGTGCCCCATTGTTGGTGTCAGTGGAAGGAATTGTGCCCCATTGTTGGTGTCAGTGGAAGGAATTGTGCCCCATTGTTGGTGTCAGTGGAAGGAATTATGCCCCATCGTTGGTGTCAGTAGGAGTAGTGTCTGTTGAGTGTGGGTGGAAGCTGGAGTACCCAGAGGAAACCCACGCAGGGAACAAAAACAGAGCGCACCAACCTTGCGCATTACCTCAGTAGGCAAGAAATACATTAATAAAGAGATATACTTACAAGACTAGCAATATAAAAGGCATATAACATCCAAGTACAAAACAATGGATTAGGAGACACGTGCAAATCCCATCAAGCGCTCTGAGGAAGAAGGGACCGCCCTTCGAAACGCGTCAGCAGGACCCTGAGAGTGTCTCTCCCCTCTTTATGGAATTTGCACATATCTCCTAATCCAGTGTTTTGTGCTTGGATGTTATACTCACAAGAGTAGCAATATAAAAGGCATATAACATCCAAGTACAAAACACTGGGTTAGGAGCAGGGGCGGACTGACAACTCATGGGGCCCCCGGGCAATAGGGGATCATAGGGCCCCTGTGTCCTTGCCCAAACTCAAAAAACCCTATGAAAAAGGTACCAGGGGCATCTCATGGGGCCCCCTACTGACTTCGGGCCCTCGGGCAGTGCCCGAGTTTCCAAATGGTAAGTCCGCCCCTGGTTAGGAGACACGTGCAAATTCCATCAAGAGGGCAGAGAGGCTCTCAGGGTCGAGCTGATGCGTTTCGAATGGGGGATTCCTTCTTCCTCAGAGCTCTTGATGGGATTCACACGTATCTCCTAACCCAGTGTTTGGTACTTGGATGTTATACTCACAAGAGTAGCAATATAAAAGGCATATAACATCCAAGTACAAAACACTGGGTTAGGAGATACGTGTGAATCCCATCAAAAACTCTGAGAAAGAAGGGACCCCCCCCCCTGTGAAACGCATCAGCTTGACACTGAGAGCCTCTCTCCCCTCTTGATGGGATTCGCACATGTCCCCTAATCCAGTGTTTTATACTTGGATGTTATATGTCTTTTATATTGCTACTCTTGTGAGTATATCTCTTTATTAATACATTTTATTATTTATTTTTATTATTTATATTTATTGCCTACTGAGGTAATGCGCAAGGTTGGTGCGCTCTGTTTTTGTTCTCTACCACAGTCCGTATTGAGCTTCCTCAGCTAGAGCCGCACAACCTTTGATCAGGGTTGGACGAACTTTACAATTTCTAATCATATACTGTCTGATCGTCCTTCATCTGATTTGGGTCCCTGAGCGCAGGAGGTGTTGGATTTGTGAAACCCACGCAGGCACAGGGAGAACATGCAAACTCCAAGCAGGCAATGCCGTGGTTGGGATTCACACCTAGTGCTGCCAGGTGGAAGTGCTAACCACTTAGCCGCTGTGCCTCCCCATCTTATAATGAGTCTGACAGGCTGGAGGCTACACAAACGAAGGATAGACATCGAACGTTTCAGATGAATATTAAGCGGTTTGTTTTGCCTTCAGCTCTTAACATGTTTAGAACCTCCCGCGACCCAGAATGCAACGCTCTCATCCCTTGGACATGTTTCTAATTATCCTTTTATAAGATGATCGATTCCATGTAATGAACTGCTTTTAGTGGAAGTCATAAAGTAAACAGATTAAAAAATGTTGGGCAACACCCTTAATAACCGTAACAAGTGGAAGCATGCAGGTAATATGTGGAGGTATCCTAATTATAGAACATCTTGTACTACAAAACTATTATGTAAACATTTCCCAGCATTGCCCAAAAGTGAACCCAGATTTTTCCGCTTTCCTTAAAGCAGAATTCCAGTTCAATAAAAAAAAAAAAAGTCAGCAGCTACAAAAACCGTAGCTGCTGACTTAAAATACAGCCACTTACCTGTCCCTCGGTCCAGCGGCATCCTCACCACCGCTGGTTTCATCAGCTGTCTTCTCTCCCCCCCCCGGTGCCGGCATCTTCAGTGTGGGCGCCATCTTTACTGTGGGCACCCGGCTGTGACAGCTTGCAGCTTCACAGCCGGGAGCCCACTGCGCATGCGCAAGAAGCGCTGCGCTTTGTGAATGGCCCCGTAGTCTTCTGGAACCTGTCACGTGTCCCAGAAGACTACGGGGAGGGAGGGGGAAGGACAGCTTCCGCTGCTTGCTGTGGGGGCACCCAACAGGAGCTCAGGCAGAGACCCGAGAAGAGGAGGATCCGGCCTGCTCTGTGCAAAACCACTTCGCAGAGCAGGTAAGCATAGACATGTTTGTTTTTTAATGTAAGCCTTTTAAAATCACATTAAATACATTCCTCAGTAGCCACAAACGATATAAATCCACTTTGTGCACCATATGCCTTTGCCATCCCAGATATTACCTTGTAAAAGTAAACCGTGACATCATCATTGTGCTGAACATAGCCCGTGCAGAGCTGTGGGAGGGGCCCAGCAGGCTCCCCCCATTACAGGAGGGTTAGAGACAAGACCAGTCACCCTGCACAAAGAGAGCTGAGCAGTGGGAGAGGCCTAACAGGCTCCACCCACTTCAGGCTGCCTGAAAAAAGCTACAAGGGGCGGAGACAAGACCACTCACCCTGCACAAAGAGAGCTGAGCAGTGGGAGAGGCCTAACAGGCTCCACCCACTTCAGGCTGCCTGAAAAAAGCTACAAGGGGCGGAGACAAGACCAGTCACCCTGCACAAAGAGAGCTGAGCAGTGGGAGAGACCTAACAGGCTCCACCCACTTCAGGCTGCCTGCAAAAAGCTACAAGGGGCGGAGGTAAGACCAGTCATTCTGCATAAAGTGAGAGCAGAGCTGTGGGAGGGGCCTAACAGGCTCCACCCACTGCAGGCTGTCTGCAAAAGGCTACAAGGGGCGTAGATAAGACCAGTCACCCTGCACAAAGAGAGCAGAGCAGTGGGAGAGGCCTAAAAGGCTCCACCCACTTCAGGCTGCCTGCAAAAAGCTACAAGGGGCGGAGACAAGACCAGTCACCCTGCACAAAGAGAGCTGAACTGTGGGAGAGGCCTAACAGGCTCCACCCACTTTAGGTTGCCTGCGAAAAGCTACAAGGGGCAGAGACAAGACCAGTCACTCTGCACAAAGAGAGCTGGGCTGGGGGAGGGGCCTAACAGGCGCCACCCACTTCAGGCTGCCTTCAAAAAGCTACAAGGGGCGGAGACAGGACCAGTCATTCTGCATAAAGTGAGAGCACAGCTGTGGGAGGGGTCTAACAGGCTCCACCCACTGCAGGCTGCCTGCAAAAGGCTACAAGGGGCGGAGAGAAGACCAGTCACCCTGCACAAGAGCAAGCAGCAGTGAGCGGTCTTGATTACAGCTAAAGTCTCACACTGGATCACTGCACAGACCTGGAAGTACTCCCCCCACTGTGGAAATTCACTCCTGGCGACCGATGTAACTGGCACAGAAAGTGAGGGAAAATCCAAAGTTTTGAGTTGTCATCAGAAAAGTGAAAAAAACAAGAAAAAAGGGAAATCTCACAAGAACAGAAGGGGAATCTTCCAGTGACGGCAGTGACCTGTCCTGGTGACCACTGACACTGGAACTGAAAGTGATGGGATATCCAGACTTTGGAGTTGTTACCAGAAAAGTAAAGTAGCCGTCCAATGGAGGCCCTGTATTGGTGACAACTCAGAGGGGTATCTCCCTCACTTTGGAAATGTTTCCTCTCTGTTGTGTCTACAGGACCAGGAAATAAAGGGGAATCTCTCAGCAGATGGGCAGACGGTGTTCTCAGTGAAAGGTCAGCCTCATCATTTCCTTGTAGTGTGAATGTTACCCTGAGGACGGATTTGTCATTTCAAGGAAAAGATTTCTGAAAAACATTTACTATTTGAATGTTTCTTCCTCTGTGGTCATCCCTCCTACATGGCGCACCGCGATACAAAGCTGCC